TACGTCGTTACAACGCGCGCCAAAAGTTCACGTTACGCCCCTAGCAACGGCGTGTTTCCAAGGAATGAACGCATACTTTTCAACGATGCAACAACGCGTTTAAAATGCAAGCTGCAAGCTCAACTGCAATTGGCTGTAAAATGTTAGGTTCAAGATATGGCTCTGGATTTAGTGTTTGTCTTACGAGGTCCCACAATTGAATTTGTTATGCCTGTTGGAAGTACCTGATTTTTTTTCTGCAACACCAACAGGCATACCAGTGGGGTGAAAGCATTTTTCAGCATCAACCACCATTTCCAGTATTACCTCTTCTCTACCTGTCTCAGTTGCTTCTTTTTCATTCTTTTTATTTTTCTCGTGTTTGTGATCTGGAAAGCAGAAAATTGTCAATAAATTTAAATTTTCATTACCAGTACCATCACAACCATCACAACCATAGTTACCATCACCATAACTACCACCATCACCAAAAACACAAGTCTTTAGCCAGGACCCGTGTCAAAACTGCCTGTTCAAAATATACTGTGGGCATACGAACTTACAATCAAATCCAAAATTCATGTGGACACTCTATATCCCCCTCTTCAATGTTGCATATCTGCATTATCTTAGACTACAACATAGTCTGTGGAGCGTCTGTGACGCAGGCTACATTATCTACACATCTTATTTGATAAAAATTCCATTCAACATTAACTTGGGGATCAAGGGGGGGGGGAGGTATTTATTTATAGAAACGCCATTCAAGGCCAATGTCTGTGGGTTGTATTTTTGTGAAGGGGGTAAAAAATATGGCACTTGAAATTAATTGTCATATACTCGTAATTCAGATGTATTGAACAGGTAAAATAAACAGCATTTGACAAAGCTTGCACATTACTCTTTGAAAAAAACACACATTTACAACGGCCGTCCATAAGATGGCTGGGTGGCCGCCTGGCTAAAGGCCTGATTAGCAACATTCCTAAAATTGCCGCAACCAGGCAATGAAAACAAAGCAAGCAAGTCGCCTTGACCAAATGCACAACATCATCTAGTGCTTGAATATTGTTGAAAGATTAACTAACCACTTGTACAACTTGGGCTTTCTTTTCATTCTCCAGTCGTCTTTGCCTTCTCTCTTCCAACAACTTTTTTCTCTCCTTAAAAATTAAGAGTTATGCATATATATTTTCACCTTTGCATGGAGTGGAAGACAAACACAAGACTTGATTCGTGAATTGGCAGATTGCATTTATTTTCTGCACGCGGGGGGGGGGGTGTTTGAGGACAATGGAAAATCCAGGGGAGGGGTATAAAAAAGGCCTTGGAAAATCCAGGGGGAGGGGTGAAAAAGACTGCAGAAATCCAGGGGGTGGGATGGTCTGCGGGAAAAAAATCCAGGGGATGGTCTGCCAGTCTGGAAAGTTAACTTTTTGCACGCCGGACATCGATTCAGGTACATGTAAATGTACGCCAATTTTGGAAATATTAACGCGCAAAAGTTCCAAATACACCTTTTTAGTATAAACCTATTTGGTTTATATTTGTTGAATTTGAACAAGTACTAGTCTATGTGAACAAATGTACGCCATTATGTACGCCAAAGTTTGTGTTTGTACACCGGACAAGTCCGGCATACACACCTTACATTCCAGTCTGGATGGTCTGCGATTAAAGCCATTTTCCAGCCCTGGGTATCTAGCAATGAATTCCTAGGAAATTCCAGGGAGGGCGTATATAAACTGAATCCCAGGGGGTCACAATTTAGCTGGTAAAAAGGTCCTCAATCCCCCCCCCCCCCTGTGCGGAAAATAAATGCAATCTGCCATTACCGAGCTTAGTGAGCTGCATTCTATATTCTGTAATTCAGCTTGAAAATATTTGTGTTTATACCTCCCGTTGTCTCTTGGCTGCTTCTTTCAACTCATTCTCAAGTCTTTTCACATTCTTTTCTTCAGCCTTCTTCTTCCTCTTCTTGTCCCAAGATGAGTGAAGCGACGGTACGCTTATCATGTCGGACTTTCTAATTAAAACAATAAAAAAATGTTTTTATTCGTACAGTTTGTACTAGAATTGAAATGCTGAAAGCTAGAACACTTACTTTGCTCCTTCGCTTTTCCAAAATCGCCCAGATTTCGGTTTTCCTCGTGGAATTTTGGCGATCTTTTCGACACTCGTGGCCGCCATGTTGAAGATTCTTAAATGGGCAATATATCATCCACCAAAAGACGCTCCGATTTAATATTTAACCTTGTTTAGTACTGCTAAAACCAGAATTATTTTACAATAACTGACATTTAATTGGGGCACAGTTTTTACTGCAAAAGTTCTCAAGAAAAACTAAGAAAAATTCAAGGATTTCAAGCAAAAAACTAATTACTAAACATAGTTTCAAAACCGAGCCTTACCGATGAAATTTGTGTCATTCTGGACGATACAAAATACTCCAAGAAAGCACTGACCGCAGAAATAAACTGGACTTATTACATTAGTACCCAGTATTCTTTCTTTCCTCGGCGAATATGGCGACCGAAGCAAGCTTCCGCTTCGGTCAGCATATTATCAAAGCTTCTGTGGTGTTTTTTCGCTCAAAACTATCCTACGGCTTTGTGAACAGAAAACCAGTAGTGTCCGGTCATGTCTTGGTCGCACCGCTACGAATTGTAGACCGATTTTGTGATTTAACAGAGGACGAAGTAGCAGACTTATTTTTGAGCACCCAAAAAATTTCCGGTGTCGTTGAACGGGAATTTAAGGCGAGTTCTTTGACCGTCGCGATACAAGACGGGCCAGATGCCGGTCAGACTGTCCGACATGTTCATGTGCATATTCTACCCAGACGAAAAGGCGATTTCCATGACAACGATGACGTATACAAAGTTCTGGAAAGACACGACAAGGACGAGATACAAGAAAGTGAAACTATGAATGGTGTGACGGTGGTTGATGGGGCAGAAATATTTCGCAGCGAAGAAGAGATGTCTAAAGAAGCCACTCAATTGGCGCAGTTCTTTAAATGACTGATGATTAACTTATTTGAATGAATCTATTTATTAATTTTTGTTATAAGAAATATTACTATTAAATGATTCATAATTTATGTTTTGTTGTATTGTTATTATTATATTCATTGCTCGTTTATCTCATTTATGTAATTTCGCCCACGGGCCATGCAGTCATTAGCAGTGCTGTTATTTTATCAAATTGCTACAAAGTTGTCACTCACAGCATCTTGACAAGTTGATGAATTACAGGACGATAAGAAGTTGTTGGAACAACTTGTAACAAGTCTGTTGAGCTCAAAAACCTTGCAACAAGTTGTGAACAAGCCGTTGACAACTTGTCAACAATCTGTAAACAAGCAGTGCGAATACATCCTGCTCACAAGTTGTAATTGGAACAGCATTGGTACAAGTCTGCTGCAGCTTTGTTACGCGTGTAACCCACTTCAATTCCTACAAAAAAAACCTTCCCACCAACTCAAAGACACAAGGAATCTTCCAAAGCCTCTTCAAAAAATCTTTTCGTCACTTCGTCCTTAATTTTATTCCATACCGCATCGGGCCTCGTGTCTGAGCCCACAAATTTCTTGTATCGAGTAATATACACTATAGAATCCTTATTACAGAGTTGATCACGTGCTGCATCAAGAACACAACTCAAGTGTCCTGTGTCCGAGAATTCCTCCAATCTGTTCTTGTAGTCCAAAACAAACGCAGCCCGGAATTCGAGCCATGAAACTAGGCTTTTGTCTGCAAAATTTCTCACCCAGAAATCTGTTGTATAGTGTTCTGATGAAGGATGTCTGGAACGATTCCTTGAGAACACTGCGCCCAGTGAGAGTGCCCTTGACCTCGTCTGAAGCCGGCCATCTTCAGGTATTTGTTGTACATCCTCTGGTGAAAAACAAAGAAGAGTCTATGTTGAACAATTAAAGTGCTTTCAACTGAAGAATAAGCTTTCTTTATACTGGATAACTATCACTTCTAAACCATTCTTCCTAGAAATCCAGTAAGGATAATTTCTTATTGAACCAGTGTTACTACAGGAGGAAACCTAAATTGAACAAACTTTCTTTATACTGGATAATTCCATCAGTTCTAAACTGTTCTTTCTAGAGGTCCAGTATAGGGATCATCTCTTATTGATCCAGTGTCACCACAGAAGAAAACCTAAACTAAACTTTCTTTATATTGGATAGCTCTATACCAGTTCTAAACTATTCTTTCTACAGGCCCAGCAAGGGTCATCCCTTGACATGTTACCCTTACTCTATCAGTTCTAGGCTGTTCTAGCTTGAAGTCACAACTTATTGGTCAAGGAGGAAAAGAGGAAAGATATCTCAAACGCGGAGGTCCAGTGTAGTACTCTTAACTACCTGAAAAACATATAACGTGTGACTAACATTCTACAAAAAGCTATCGTACTACTCCTGCAGTTATATCTGCTATAGTAAACTCTGGATCATTAAAGTGATAGAGCTAGTGGGGCTTACTGCATCTCTAGGGAGAAACGTCTTGAACTGATAGGACTATTAGTTGAGTCTATTACAGTATTTTAATCATTTTATAAAATACTACAATGTAAATTTAATATATTATTAAAGCGATACGAATTCACTCTAGTCTCCTGAAGAAAACCTTTGGTGTTTGATAGAGTCAAACTGGAAGCACTCCTCTCACATACGACTGTGAGCTGCTTGAGGACTTAACTCTTAAAGATAATTTCAAAAATTATTAAAAAACCCTACATTCACGCACTTACCGAATTCATTACTCTGCGTCTGTGTACAATGAGCTCCTGTCTCAGATTGTCTCCGCTTTGAAGAAGTGCTCAACCTCCGAAAAAAGTTCATAATTTGTAATGTTTCTTTCTGCCCAAAATCGATAATTTTTATCAGCAGACTGTAACTTTTCTATAGACTCCGAGATAACGGAATAAATCGATCAAATCTGCAAAAATAGACTCAACCGTCTGTAGTCACAGCTTGCCTCAGCTAGCTCTTTAAATAAAAGATGAAACAATAAAAGATTATAAACTCGCTCGCTTAAAGGCAAAATTCAAAATGCCATACTTTTTAACGTTTTACTAGTAAATTCATCTCGTATCTATGTCATAAGCCATTTTACATCAAAGTAGTTTAAAATACGAGGCAGTTCATGAATTTCGAAAGAGCCCTTTGTTAATGACGCGGAGTACATATGTCAATGTGACAACACATTGGCAAAATCAATTTGCACAGAATATTAATGAGTTTCGGGACATTCATAGTAATAATTACATCAAAGGCATCAAAACAAATAGTTGTTATTAAATCGTGTGTTATGTTAAGGCCAAGGGTACCGATGTACAAAGTCTTTAGGCTGTTTTCCACTCTACCGTATCGTAACGTATCGTAGCATTTTCTTTTGCGTCGAAGTCACAGTTCCACTACTCGTTCACATTACGTGGGAGCGAAATTCGGTTTGAAAACGTCACTTTTGGCTTTGCCGTAACAATTTGAGCACGGTTTCTAAACGGAACGAGATGAAAACGGAGCGCATGGCGGCTTCATGTGAACACAAACGGTATTTTTTGTACCGCTTGCAAATCAAGCATCTCAGGGTCTCAAAACAGTAAATTCGAATGCATTTCGTTTAAATTTCTTTGCTCTATTCGAAATATTTTGGGTTTACATGCAGAGTGCTAATTTAATTTGTAAACAAGCTGTGACAGTGTGGTGAACACACGTAGTCCAAACCAAGTAACCAACCAGGGACTTAGCGAAGCATCTGAAGTTTTGTCGGAGGATTTTACCTGAAATTTGAATTTCAATGTTAAAAATTTACCTGAAGTGTAATAATTATGATAAAGCTTTTTGTGATTGATTTGCACTCAGTCATACTAAGTTTCGGGAGAAAAGTGGAGTCTGGGGACCTCCCCCCAAAATTGTTTTACATTTATGAAGCTCTAGGACTGCATTTCTGGCCTTTTCTAAAGCAAATTCGCAAACAAATTGGATGTAAATTGACTGTGTTTTACAAAAATGGTTATCATTTCACAAAAATAATTCGGTTTTATTACCCAAATTGTACCTAAAAATGTCAAAATTTTAACTTGAATTTCACCTGATTATTGCCTGTGTTTCACAGTACGTTGAGGGGCGTTTTACACACCCCCCCCAGCCCCCCCCCCCAGTCGTTACGTCCCTGAAACCAACTTTTTCTAATTTATGTCAGCCGCGGATAATGTTGATTATAAACTAGAATGGTAAGGATTAATCTTGTTCATTTATTGTATTGAGCGAGTACTTGTACCCAAAGCTATTACTTGATGACGTACGAAGCACATCTGGGGAAATTTGATAAGCAAGGCAAGGGCAAGGCAAGGGGACTACTTTTCGAGGCAGGTTTTCTCAAACTGCGTGACAGTGCACTTTCAAACTGCGTGACAGTGCACAAGACACAATTTTAGTTGAAAAGCCTTCGAGTCAAAGTTTAATGACGCCAGGCGAAGCTTTATTGGACTAAAAACCATCTCTTACATAAAATTGAGAATATTGAGAGATGCTTAATTTTTTAAACGCATTTCCCAAGCAGGATCAAAATCTCCAGTATATATTAATGGTGCACCCATGTATACCTGCACAAAATTAGGGGGAGGAGGGGGCGAATACTACATTACCAGACTGGACGAAAATTGCACGACTTTGCCCGACGTTCCAATACCTAACAATGCATTCCAAAGTCCATACTATTCATTCACAATTTGCGAGATGGACAGCCCAACAAAAGTACCCGTCCTATAACCTTTTGGTCGAATTACCCAAATTTCTTATCATTGTGTAACTATCGCACACTTGAGTCCATCTTAACTCCGATCACATAAATATAGATATAGCTAAAATTTATACATTGGCGTGAAATCTCGTGCACTGAGACCTGCAAATCTACAGCACAATACTAGAGTCAGTGCATGCATATGTGAACAACATTTCGTACGCTGAACATATGCTTTGAGTCGAAAAGACTTTCCAAAAGAGTATACAAATACAGCTGTCAACCATAAAAGGATCTACGAAAATAGAATGCCAACCATATTATATACTCACATAATCATAGAGGCACTATAGGGCCTAGTTTGCAGATTTCTGCGCAAATTGCTGGCCTTACACCATAGAAATAATATTAATATCTATTACTTCTATGACTTGCAAACTTCAATTACATAGATTATCAATTCGCTTACCTATATATGATACATTTACACACGCATCGACGTATTACAAACAGTCCAAAGAAAATGGCATGTCATTGTATTATTTGTCCAATTTGTCCGCGTCTATGTTTTAATTGCGTATATGAGTGACTGTAAATAAGCAATGTATCCGATTACGAGATGAGGACAAAGTTCTGTATAAGCGATGAAAAATAATGCGTGTCACACATACTTGAAAATGGACATGCACTTGCTTGCATTGAGGGCTAAATATCAAGTGATATCACTGGATTAAGTGAAGTGACTCTTAATTAATTAGCATTTTCTTTGGCTTCCTCATTAGTGACTGGGGACTGGGGCCGGCGACTATAGGTTTGCCCTCAGGATCGCAGGCTCGGGGAACGAGATTGGTTTGCCCTTCGGTTTTTCTTCTCTTTTTTCAGCCACAAATCGACAAATTACGTAATCTGTCTATGCTCGAAATGACGTAATCGAAGCTAGAAGGCAACCCTATATACAAACCAGGCTTCATATACACTATTTTTGCACTATTATTCACATTTATTATATAAAGTATAGTGCTTTATAGAGATTTCGAGCACTGATAAAAGTGATAATCTCACATGTGAGATTATTTATGATATAATCTCACATGTGAAAATTATCGCTTTTCAATTATCGCTTTTCTGTAAAAATTATCGCTTTTCAAAGACTGTCCTTTATATAATAAACAGAAAAATACATGGGTGCTTGGAAATACCAGATTTATTTCTCGTGTTGAACATGATATCTCACTCGTTCGCTGCGCTCACTCGTGAGATATCATGTTCAACACTCGAAATAAATCTGGTATTTCCGCGCACCCATGTATTATTACCTATATACGCATCGCAGCCTGCATTATTTTTGTCCAGCACTCTATCCCGATTAACTCCGAGAACTGTCCGAAGATGTCCAAAGGCAAAGAACAATAGTCAGTCGACCTCTATAGAACTTTTTATGCAATTTTCACTTGTCAATCTCATCACGGCATTAAACCTGGTTTGCACTTTCAAACTTGCTGTGAGCACAGTAGGAATTTTGCATAGGTAAATTGTAAGTTTTGAAGGATTTGTAAGAAATGTTTGAGGGAACTGACAATGAATCATTTTCCTCAAAACACTATCAAATAGGCAAGTAAATTTCATTTTAAAATATATATTTTATGACCTATTTTTACTACTATAACATTAGTATACTGACCCGATTGTACTCTAATCAACTCTCCTCAACTCTCTTATCTCGTTTGATATTGTCAAAAACACTTTAAACTCACATTAACACTGACCTAAGATGATCTTCGCCTAAAGCAGAAGCGGCAATAAGCCAATAATGATGCCTCACAATACATAATATACTTAATGGCTTGTCAAAAATGCAAATTACAAACGCAGGCATTATCACTAAGTCAAACAGCTGTTTTGTGCCGCCCAACCTTTTATTCGTGTGCCAAAAAACCTTCCAAACGTCACAAAGCACCTGCAGAACTCAACAGGTTGTTAGCGAAAATTCTCACCCAGCCCTGGCTCCGGTAAACAAACACGAACCGAGCGCTCAGAACAATAACAAGTTCCGACACAAAGGCTTCTTGCTGGCGAAAATTAAGTTGCTTATATCAAAGGCCGGCAAGTTTCGCTGTATAATTGAAACAATTTAGAGAATTATATTTGGACGAATATAAGAACAAAGTTTATGTTCTCGTAAAAGGACAAGGAAAGTTAAACTCGAAGGCGAATTATATTTGAGTTCGCTTCGTTTGAATCGACAAAGAGACCTAATTGTTTTGAGAAGACGGTATTATTATAAAGCCAAACCATAATTCTTTCTAAGAAGCATCAATGGAAAAGCAAGAATCTAGCGAAGAATCGACAAAAGCGACAGTTAGTTCGCAAAGGAGATGCATAAAGCATTTCGGCGAAGTTTTTGGCTATATACCGGGCTCAACTTTGCAGTATGATACTGACCGCTCTCAAGTGATAAAACTGAAGCTGCCGGCTTTAAATGTTGGCGTTTTCGGCCGGATTGCAGCAGGGAAATCGTGCTTTATTAACACGGCAGAAAGCGTGCTCTCTGGAGAATACAGCGATCGTGCAGGGGAAAATAGGCTCGCCAAGGAAGGGGATAAATGCATATTGGAAGCCACCACTGCGGAGAGGATTAAGGTTCGGGTAGGACAGAAAATGTGTTTGGTTGATAATCGGGGATTTCCGAAGAAATGCGACGAGAGTATTGCTGAAGAAGTTGTGAAACAGTGTGGTAAGCCGAGGGTTAAATGCATTTTATTCGTATATTTAAATTCGCGCGTATTCGAATCCATAAGCGCGCAAAACCTGCAAAGGCCCAATTCCACTCAAGAAAAATTTCCACGGACCGAAAATTTTCCGAAAATATGAAAAGTTTTCAACTTCAACATTTTTTCCGACGGAAAATTTAGTGTCGACGGCCAATCATATTTTACACAATTTTCTTTCTGCGGAAAATTTTCTCAGTTGAGTGGTAAAGGCTAGTTTCTACTCAGGAAAATTATCCGTGGATTGGAACGGACAAGAAAATTATTCTTTGTGTTAAAGTCATTAATAGTTCCAACCCAGAGCTCGCAAGACAAAGAAAAATTTTCTTGTCCGTTCAAATCCACGGATAATTTCCCGGAGTGGAAACTAGCCTTAATGGCCCGGGCCTTTAAATTTAGCGAAAAATATTAACCCGCGCAAAAAAGTTTGATACCCTAAGCGTGTATGATACTGACAGTAAGATGTATTGCTGTCAATTAAAATACGAGATTTTTTATTGGTTAACTTTCAGTCGCACTACCTTTTTATACAACGGCCTAGTCCTAGGCCTTCCTGCGTACTGGATTGGATTTTGAACCGCGGGAGAAGGCCAATAGCAAAATTCGTCAAATTGCTGTTAATATCCTCTCAACAATTTAACCCATTGAGCGTGTGAAAAGTCGTTTGGCGTTAGACAGAGTAAAATAATAAATTAGGGCATAATGAAACCTAATTGGTTAAAAAAAATTTAAATATCAGTGGAGGTTATTTCATAAAACACCGGACATTTTTATTATTTAACGACGGTGGCCTTTTCAGTAATCTGTTTTTCAAAGTGCCTAATAAATGTTAGGGGTACATTATTGTGGGTTTTGTTTATATCTTTTCAGACGGTACCAGAAAATTCGGTAGTTTTGTTCCCGAAGATTGGAACAGTTCTCCTTGGCAGAAGTTCAAAGATTCTATTTCTGGTTCATTTCGAAGGCGATCACTTAAGCAACGGGTCCATTGTGCCATATTAGTGTACAGGTGACATGCATATATTCATGAATTGTTAATGAGTTATTATCGCGAAATGTATAGTGTGCACGACTTTTGAAAAGATTGGAGAGATAACATAACATATAACAGTTATGTTATGGACAATAGACTATTGAGGGCTGTTTATATGAGACGGTTGAATATAATAGAGTCACGATCTATCTCAACGGCCAGTTTATAATAGTTTATACCTGTAAACCACATATAAATCATAAGTATTCTCTAGTTATAATCACTCCGCGTAGTTTCAGTTCTACAATGTTGTATTTAGGCTTGTATATGCGAGAAAGATCGTGACAAGCAATTTCTTGCAAGAGGTCTAATGCAGGAAAACTATACATAAACATTCTAACTTTATTTTTGGTTTTATAGCTTACATGACGACACAGAACCTGAAGAATTTAAACTTATAATTGATGTTCTACGAAAATCTTGTGGTATGTAAAATGACCGATGCAATGTGTGATTCCAGCTGTAGACTAACTTTTGATCTCGGCAAGAAGAACGGAATCCAACACCACAGCTAGAAAGAGCATCTTAGAATGAGTAAAACTGCAAAAATTGGTTGCTGAATGTTCTAAAATGAAGAAAATATAGCCCTACGAAGTTCGCAATTTTGTATATATTTGTATTACGCGCGGTAAAAATAACCACTTTCGGCTCAAAAATGATTGTTTTTCCCGCGCGTAATGCAAATAATGACAAAATTTGCGAATTTCAAAGGGCTATATTTTACTCATCAGTACAACAATTCGCAACCAAACTTTGCAATTTTATTCATTTTAAGAAGCTCTTTCCAGCTATGGTAATGGATTTCGTTCTTCTTGTATAGATCAAAATTTCGTCCATAGCTGGAATGAATCATCCACTCAAAGTTAACAATATTTTATTAAAAAGCCAGTTCACAAACAATCACAAACACAAACTTTTTGCCCGAAATCAAAACTCTAAACCAAATAAAAACTTCAACTTAAAGGTGATCTACAGTCCGTATGTAAACAAAGCCTTTGTTAGTTACATTTTTGTGTTCAAAATATTGAGCTTTATTCGACAACTATTTATATTTTCAAGCTTCTAGAGTATAATAAATAATCAAGAAACAACAATCAGGCTTTTCAAGAACTCAAAACATAGTTAAACTGTTTGTATCACAAAAAGTGGGCTCATTTGTGCACATGCGCAGATCGGACTGTAGATCACCTTTAAGTTAATTGTGCATTAATTAAGGTACGTTTACACGCTGCGATTTGTCGGGCCGATTTTGCTCGCTGTATGTAAATAACCTGTCGTCAGTACTCGCCTCAGCACCTTGCGATTCACAAAATCGGGAGAAAAATCTGTAACAAAACCACAGATTTTTTCTCACGATTCAACGACTTTTCTACCGTTGTAAAGTTGTTGAAAACTTTTCGCACGCAGAAAACTATAACATAAACAGACGAGAGAGCGGACAGCTTCAATTGAACGTTTAAATCGCTAAATGTTGAAGAAGGGGCATCGATTATTTACCAAAATTGGCCCGAAAAATCGCAGCGGGTAAACGTAGCTTTAACTCTTTCTCGTTCGAAGATTTTTAAATGTTGCGCCACCAATTTTTAAATTAAAGGAACTTTGCCCCTTTCGAGAAACACCCCGCAATTTGAAAGTCACGCTGCATAAACGAGTCACGCTGCATAATCAACGCGTGGCCAAGCTAACTTGACCAATCCCATATTTAACTAGAGGGCACTCAGAGACTGTATACCTCCGGCCCCATTGAATTTCGGCCGTGGGAAATGCAACTAAGACAATAGATAATGAAGGCTGAAGCTTAATGACGTTTATCATCTCATTATTGTCTTAGTACTGCGTATACATTATACACGTCCTAATTACGCATTTAGTGAGTTTTTTTTAATTGACCGGGAAAAGCAAGACAAAATTTTGTTCATTTCTCGTTCCATTTTTAACCAAATTCAACCAAATTTTAATCAGTTCTTCCTTAGCCGATGGGAAATGCATTCAAAAAATTTCGTATGAATATGTTTGGTATTTCTTGAGTTATCGTGCTCACAGACAAACACACACATACACACATACACACATACGCACAAACCCAGATGATTACATAACCTCCTGGCGGAGGTAACAAACCCAGATGATTACATAACCTCCTGGCGGAGGTAACAAACCCAGATGATTACATAACCTCCTGGCGGAGGTAATGAAAGTTGCAAACTTCACAGGACTATAACATCCCCTTGCTAAATTTGTGATGCTCTTTCAAGCGGTGATGAAATTTTTGTCCAGACTTGTTGAGATCAAAATTTTGATTGATAAGATGATAAGATAAGATAAGATGATGTTTAATAGCACAATTTCGCACATAAAGTGAAGTACAAAGGGCTTACATTAAAATACTATAATAATACTAGAGGGGACTCAGAGACTGCATACCTCCGCCCGTTACTCGGAAGTGAAACGCAACCTTGGAATTTCCTAAGAAATCCACTTTATAATTCTTAAGCATAAAAGATTTCAGGCCCCCGCGAATTGAAATCGAATTGCTAATAGAACATATTACTGTTGTTGTGCTGTACAGTACTTGTAAAATAAAAACTTATTAAGTGTCATTAAACAAATGCATAAATTTTGCTTTATGCACTCGCGCGTGCAGTAATTTTCACAGTTGTGCTATTTTAAATTCCCAGGCAGCTAAAATCTTTTGTCTTTAAAACAATGTCGATTTCTTGGGAAATTCCGAGGTTGCGTTCTTTTTATACACCCTGTATTGAAGTAATCTAATGTTGTTAGAATTTGAATGGCTGGCACTTTGCTGAACGTAATAATGCGTAACTCCGTAAGCCTTGTTTTAGACATTGAATTTAGGTCGCGTGAAATGCAACTAAGACAATAATAGATAATGAAGGCCGAAGCTTAATGAGGTTTATCATCTCATTATTGTCTTAGCACTGAGTGCATAAATTATACACGTCCTAATTACGCATTCAGTAATATTTTTTGTTAATTGACCGGGAAAAGCAAGACAAAATTTTGTTCATTTCTCGTTCAATTTTTAACCAAATTCAACCAAATTTAAATCAGTTCTTCCTTAGCCGATGGGAAATGCATTCAAAAAATTTCGTACGGATATGTTTGGTATTTCTTGAGTTATCGTGCTCACAGACAAACACACACACATACACACACACACACATACACACACACACACACACATACACACACACATACACACACACACACACACATACAAACCCAGATGATTACATAACCTCCTGGCGGAGGTAATAATCACTAATCAGTACTATTTTAATTATTATAAAATGCAAATGTATATAGCTATATATATATATATATATATATATATATATATATATATATATATATATATATATATATATATATATATATATATATATATATATGAATAATATATATAATATTTAAAAAATTCATTAATAATTTACGAGGAAAATACAAAAGAAATGAATATTTAATCAATGTTTGTAAATCGGATAAAGATTTGTCCTGATTTACATAAACTTCAGCTTTGATTTTCTCGGCTTAGACAATGTTTATTTTTAAAATTACTTCGCTAATGAACTCATAAGATGGGTCGTTTTATAAGCATATACAAACTCTCGCCTTCGGCTCGAGTTTTTATATCGGATAAAGATCGACTGCTCATGTTTTATCTAGTACATAAACTCTACTACTAGCAATGTTCTAGTCAGCACTTACAAAAGGTAACATAAATACATAATGACTTATGTCTAATAAGATATCCAAAGATCTAGCGGTTGAAGAGACATCTGTTAATAAATACTCTTTTAAGTCTCTGAGTTTTAACTTTGAGGAGCATACAATTATTAGCCTCCGCAATTCAATTTGAGAAATTAATTTCTTAACACACATTAGGCTGTGACTGCGGACTAATTCAGGATCTATTTATTGTCTTGTGACTTCTCGCGGGCTACGTTTTTAAACCGTTGTGTACCATCATAGCATCACAGCCTCTGCCTGCCCTACTGCAAAACTATGTAAATGACGGCTGGAAAAA